ATACAAACACATGGAGGCTAAAGAATACACTACTAAATAACCAAGAGATCACTGAAGAAATCAAAGAGGAAATCAAAAAATACCTAGAAACAAATGACAATGAAAACACGACGACCCAAAACCTGTGGGATGCAGCAAAAGCAGTTCTAAGAGGGAAGTTTATAGCAAAGTTTAAGAAACAAGAAACATCTCAAATAAACAACCTAACCATATACCTAAAGCAATTAGAGAAAGAAGAACAAAAAAACCCCAAAGTTAGCAGAAGGAAAGAAATCGTAAAGATCAGATCAGAAATAAATGAAAATGAAATGAAGGAAAGGATAGCAAAGATCAATAAAACTAAAAGCTGGTTCCTTGAGAAGATAAATAAAATTGATAAAGCATTAGCCAGACTCATCAAGAAACAGATGGAGAAGACTCAAATCAACAGAATTAGAAATGAAAAAGGAGAAGTAACAACTGACACTGCAGAAATACAAAGGATCATGAGAGATTACTACAAGCAACTATATGCCAATAAAATGGACAACCTGGAAGAAATGGACACATTCTTAGAAAAGCACAACCTTCCGAGACTAAACCGGGAAGAATAGAAAAAATAAACAGACCAATCACAAGCACTGAAAGTGAGACTGTGATTAAAAATCTTCAACAAACAAAAGCCCAGGACCAGATGGCTTCACAGGCGAATTCTATCAAACATTTAGAGAAGAGCTAACACCCATCCTACTCAAACTCTTCAAAAAAATTGCAGAGGAGGGAACACTCCCAAACTCATTCTACGAGGCCACCATCACCATGATACCAAAAGCAGACAAAGATGTCACAAAGAAAGAAAACTACAGGCCAATATCACTGATGAACATAGATGCAAAAATCCTCAACAAAATACTAGCAAACAGAATCCAGCAGCGCATTAAAAGGATCATACACCATGATCAAGTAGGGTTCTTCCCAGGAATGCAAGGATTCTTCAATACACGTAAATCAATCAATGTGATACACCATATTAAGAAATTGAAGGAGAAAAACCATATGATCATCTCAATAGATGCAGAAAAAGCTTTTGACAAAATTCAACACCCATTTATGATAAAAACCCTCCAGAAAGTAGGCAAAGAGGGAACTTACCTCCACATAATAAAGGCCATATATGACAAACCCACAGCCAACATTGTTCTAAATGGTGAAAAACTGAAAGCATTTCCACTAAGATCAGGAAAAACACAAGGTTGCCTACTTTCACCACTATTATTCAACATTGTTTTGGAATTTTTATCCACAGCAATCAGAGAAGAAAAAGAAATAAAAAGAATCCAAATCGGAAAAGAAGAAGTAAAGCTGTCACTGTTTACAGGTGACATGACACTATACACAGAGAGTCCTAAAGACTATATCAGAAAACTGCTAGAGCTAATGAATGAATTGGGTAAAGTAGCAGAATACAAAATTAATGCACAGAAATAACTTGCATTCTTATACACTAATGATGGAATATCTGAAAGAGAAATTAAGGAAACACTCCCATTTACCAATGCAACAAAAAGAACAAAATACCTAGGAATAAACTTACCTAAGGAGGCCAAAGACCTGTAAGTAGAAAACTATAAGACACTGATGAAAGAAACTAAAGATGATACAAACACATGGAGAGATATATCATGTCCCTGGATTGGAAGAATCAACATTTTGAAAATGGCTATACTACCCAAAGCAATCTACAGATTCAATGCAATCCCTATGAAACTACCAATGGCATTTTTCACAAGACTAGAACAAAAAATTGCACAATTTGTATGGAAACACAAAAGACTCTGAATAGCCAACACAATCTTGAGAAAGGAAAACGGAGCTGGAGGAATCAGGCTCCTTGACTTCAGACCTTACTACAAAGTTACAGTAATCAAGACAGTATGGTACTGGCACAAAAACAGAAAATATAGATCAATGGAACAGGATAGAAAGCCCAGCGATAAACCCACACAAATATGGTCATGTTATTTTTGATAAAGGAGAAAAGAATATACAATGGAGAAAAGACAGCCCTTCAATAAGTGGTGCTGGGAAGACTGGACAGCTACATGTCAAACAATGAAATTAGAACACTCCCTAACACCATACACAAAAATAAACTAAAAATAGATTAAAGACCTAAATGTAAGGCCAGACACTATAAGACTCTTAGAGGAAAACATAGGCAGAACACTCTATGACATAAATCACAGCAAGATCCTTTTTGACCCACATCCTAGAGAAATGGAAATAAAAACAAAAATAAACAAATGGGACCTAATGAAACCTCAAAGCTTTTGCACAACAAAGGAAACCATAAACAAGACAAAAGGACAACCCTCAGAATGCGAGAGAATATTTGCAAATGAAGCAACTGAGAAAGGATTAATCTCCAAAATTTACAAGCAGCTCATGCAGGTCAATATCAAAAAAACAAACAACCCAATCCAAAACTGGGCAGAAGACCTAAATAGACATTTCTCCAAAGAAGATATACAGATTGCCAACAAACACATGAAAGAATGCTCAACATCACTAATCATTAGAGAAATGCAAATCAAAACTACAATGAGGTATCACCTCACACTGGTCAGAATGGCCATCATCAAAAAATCTACAAACAATAAATGCTGGAGAGGGTGTGGAGAAAAGGGAACCCTCTTGCACTGTTGGTGGGAATGTAAATTGATACAGCCACTATGGATAACAGTATGGAGGTTCCTTAAAAAACTAAAAACAGAACTACCGTACGACCCTGCAAGCGCACTACTGGGCATATACCCTGAGAAAACCATAATTCTAAAAGAGTCATGTACCACAATGTTCACTGCAGCTCTATTTACAGTAACCAGGACATGGTAGCAACCTAAGTGTCCATCAACAGATGAATGGATAAAGAAGACGTGGCACATATATACAATGGCATATTACTCAGCCATAAAACGAAATGAAATTGAGTTATTTGTAGTGAGGTGGATGGAGCTAGATTCTGACATACAGAGTGAAGTAAGTCAGAAAGAGAAAAAGAAATACTGTATGCTAACACATACATATGGATTCCAGAAAGAAAAAAAAATGGTTATGAAGAACCTAGGGGCAGGACAGGAACAAAGACGCAGACGTAGAGAATGGACTTGAGGACATGGGGAGGGGGAAGGGTAAGCTGGGACGAAGTAAGTGAGTGGACTTATATATACTATCAAATGTAAAACAGATAGCTAGTGGGAAGCAGCCGCATAGCACAGGGAGATCAGCTCCGTGCTTTGTGACCACCTAGAGGGGTGGGATAGGGAGGGTGGGAGGGAGACGCAAGAGGGAAGAGATATGGGAACATATGCATACGTATAGCTGATTCACTTTGTTATAAAGCAGAAACTAACACACCATTGTAAAGCAATTATACTCCAATAAAGATGTTAAAAAAAAAATCCCTTGGAAGACAGAACAACAGATGAATAATAAAAATGTGTGCCTCTAAAGACCTTATTGTCCATGTAGACAAACAAGACAAATGCTAAAATAGAAAAGGAGAGAAAAGAAGACAGGAACTAACCCTGGCAGGTATTTGGAGGAAGGATTGACAAAATATTAGTTGTCTCTCCAAATCCATCCTGATCTTCTTTCTGAATATTTAGGCATTTGTATTCTGTTGAACCTACATGTGGCCACATGAGTAAAGTGCCACTAGTGAAAAGAACAGAGTTGAAATCTGCAACTTTTACATCATCTTTTTTTTTTTTTTTTTTTTTTTTTTTTAGGAAAAGGCCGTGGCCTCTCCCATTTGCGGAGCACAGGCTCCGGACGCGCAGGCTCAGCGGCCATGGCTCACGGGCCCAGCCGCTCCGCGGTATGTGGGATCTTCCCGGACCGGGGCACGAACCCGCGTCTCCTGCATCGGCAGGCGGACTCTCAAGCACTGCGCCACCAGGGAAGCCCTTACATCATCTTTTTAAAGACAGTTACTGTGAATTCATTCCTCTTCTTTCTTTATAGCTAAAAAAGAGGATAAAGAGAGCATCTTTGGAAATCAGGTGGTGAGAATGGTGGAGCCATTCCTGATAGCCTAAGTTTTTTCATGATGCTGTGGAACAGAGCCCACACTAACTTTCTGTGGACTGTTACACGAGGGAGAAAAACATCTGTGTTCTTTAAGCTACTGCAGTTTTAATTCATTTGTTTTTAATAGCTGTATAGTCTTTATTACCCTAATAAATATAGAGGATATTTCAGGAAGGCCTCATAAAAAGTCAGCTCAGTTACAAAGTCAGTCTTACAGGAGACAGAATAAGAGAGGAGAAGGGATTAAAGGAAGAAAGAATACCACAGAAGGGAGAGAGAGCATGAACATACCAAAGCATGTAAGCCATTTTAGTGTAAATGTTTCTAAATATGCTTAATTTTTTACACTTAGTACAGTGTGTGTGTGTGTGTGTGTGTGTGTGTGTGTGTGTGTGTGTGTGGCCTCTCCCGTTGCGGAGCACAGGCTCCAGACGTGCAGGCTCAGCGGCCACGGCTCACAGGCCCAGCCGCTCCACGGCATGTGGGATCCTCCCAGACTGGGGCATGAACCCGTGTCCCCTGCATCGGCAGGCGGACTCTCAACCACTGCGCCACCACGAAGCCCAGTACAGTGTATATTTTTAATACTTAATAAAAGCGTCAATATTTCTAGATATACCAAAATAATATACAAATAAATTGTCAAACAGGATTTTTTAAGAAGTCAAATTGAGATTTTTTTCCCTGTTATCTAGTCAATTTGCAAAGCAAAAACATGCTATTGATATTACTAAATAGCCTTCGTATCCTAAAATACTTTTCTAAGAAACATACAATTTATTTTTATGAGTTTACTATTTCTTTATACATACCACACAAAGCTCAAATAAAATGATTCCAAGAGACCAGACATCTGATTTGGGGCCAGAAGGCAACGGTTTCTCACTTGGCACATGATCATTGGTTTTGAAAATTCCTTGTGCAATTACCTCAGGTGCCAAGTATGATGGATACCTAAAATGGTATATTTTAGAAATGAATAATTACTATGAGCTAGAAAGGGGGAAAGAAGTATGTAGTGGTACATTTTTACTACCAGTACAGTACGACCTATGTAAAAGCTCAATGCAATTAAACGAACAACTCTTTCTAGGAAGAATTCTAAACTAACCATAATACAGGCTTTTATGTCTAGGAATCAAGAGCAAATACTTGAGTCTCAAATAATTTAAAACCTATCGTGTCTCTGCAATATTAGTTCCTTTCTTTGCTTTCCTCTGTGTTAACATATTGCCTTCTTGCAGCTTTCCAGGTTTCCAGGAGTTTCTCCTTCTTCCTTACTGCCTATCTTCTCTTTATACTTAACTCTTATTTAAAGCATATATTATCTTTGAAAATAGTATTTATTCTTTTGAATAGTAGCAATGTCAAAATCTGTAAAAATATATAAATTGAAAGGTAAGACTCTCTCCCATCTCTGTACTCCAGTCACCCACACATATGTATGGATAAGTAAACTTTATCACCCATCATCATTGCCCCATAGGGAAGCATACTATATGTACTGTTCTGTACCCTTTTTCACTCAAAATATATTTTAGAGATCATTCTAAAAAAATAAGTATAGATTTGCCTCATTCTTTTTGAAAACTGCCAAAAATTTCATTGTATGGATGCATTTAATTTACTTGATGCAACTCTGAAGAAGGATATGTTGGAAGTTCCACTCTTTTGCTATTACAAACAATGCTGACATGGATATATTACAAATATTCCCTTTCCCATGAATATGTATGTGTAGACGAAAGACAAATTCCTAGACATGGCTCTACAAAGTCATAAGGTAGATGCATTTAAAATTTTGATACAAGTTGCCCTTTCAGGTTATGGCAATTTATATTCTCATAAGCAATATGAGTGCCTATTTCCCCTTACCTTCACCAACACAAGTTTTTTGAAAATTGCTTTAGTAAATACAAAAGACAGAATATTAAATGAATAAGGTATAAAGAATAAAGTTTAAAAGAACACCCATGTACCTATCAAGAAGTTTAAGTAAAGAATATGAAATTATCACTAAAGGTCCCTCTCTGCTTCTCCCTAATTATACCTCCCTGGTATCCCCCAAAAGGAACAGACAACTGGAATTTTTGTGTTTATAATTCTCTTCCATTTCTTTATAGCTTTACCATATGTTTGCAACCCTAAAAAGTATATTGTTTAGTCAAGCACATTTCTGAACTTTATAGTATTGGAATTATGCTGATGGTATTCCTTTGTGATTTGCTTTTTTAATCAATGTTATTTAAAAGAGCCATCCATATAGTTGCATGTAGATTTAATTCATTAATTTTTACTTCTATTTTATGAATATATCATAATTTATTCATTCTAATGTCAATGGGCATTTATTTCCTGTCTTTTTATATTACAAACAATGTTGCTAGAAATACTATGTGTACATCTGCAAAAGTTTCCCCAAGGGTATAAACCTAGGATTGAATTTCTAGGCTGTAAGACATGTGCACTTTCAACTTTATAATATCATGCCAAATGTTTTTTGAAAGGGATTGTATCAATTTATACTCCCACGAGCAGTGTACAACAGATCCTATTGCTTACTTCTCCCAACACTTGTTAGACAGCAGTGACAGACTTTCTAATGTTTGGCCATCTGGTGGGTGGGAGCTACACACCGTTGTAGTTTTAATTTGTATTTCCTTGATAACTAAAGAGGCTGAGGCACATTTTCATACATATAAATTTGTACTATGATGTTATTTTACCCTAAGGTGATCATATTGATCTTGTAAATGAATGTGTGAAACCTCTGGAGACAAGTGAAGACTAGTAGAAAAGCAATGAACTTAATATTATAATACCTGTATTCTAACTTCAGTCCTAGCACATATTCTATATATGATTTGGGTTTCTTAATCTATAAAACGGGAATAATAATGCCTACCTCACAAAACTGTTATAAATATTAGTGAATACATAAAGAAGTTTTCTAAAAATGAAAAATATGACACATAGGCAATGTTTTAGCTTCGTCATCATTAGCATGATACATCCAGAAGGTAAACTGTTCATTTTTAATCCTGATTTCCAGCACATCTAACTCCAAAATAACAGCATGGGTAGTGAAAAGTCAAGCAATACTATAGGTAAATTGTTATATCTAAAACTTCTGACTGGTGATCTCTGGAAGTATAGAGGTGACTTTTGCTCCCAAAATTCTAATTTCCTTTCTATCAAGGACTTGTTAATTAATAAAAATAATAAAACTTAGGATTTTTTAATGTAAATTATCTCCGTTCAACAAGTGTCTCTTCTTTAGCATAGCATTTTAACACTCTTACCGGAACTCTGCCGTGAGTATGACTGGTGAGATAAATATAAGTGGCTTTCACCATCTGTCTGATGCTTTAACAAGGTATTAAGCTACTGGCCAAATAAAATGAATGTCCAATTTCTAACTCTTTACAATATTTTGAAACAGATGCTAACATTTTACTTTGTTGTTCTTTAATATTTGTCTTTTGAATCAACTGCAAGCTTCTTCTGGTGTAAATATTTTCTTTCATGACTTAGCTGTTTGATCACTTTATTTTTCCTGGCTAATGTTTCACATTTTGCTCTTTGATACTTTCTGGTCAGACCTTTTGGGTCAAAGACTTCAAAGTAAGCCAAACCAAATGGCACATGAGACCAATTCTATCCAAGCATTTTAAATTCAAACACGACTCTTCAAAATCCTTGATGTGCTTTAGGAAAAATCACTTCCTTTCTTCTATTCATCACTATAACCTAAAGAACCTTTAAGTGAAAGGCAAAAAATTAAAGTAATTTTTGTTTGTATTGTTTTTGGAGTTCTCTCTCATACAAATTTAGACAAAATGAAGAAGCACATTTACTACAGCTGCCTAAAAGCTATTTTAAAAGGCAATTATTACATATGATGAAGATACCAGAGCTTTATTATGAACTTAATTTTATTATTTCAAAAGGTTTTTTTTAAAACAAATAGAGCATAGGCTACTTTTATAAAATATTGTTTTTGTGCTTGTGAAAACAATTGTTTGTTGCCTACAACCACAAGTTTTGGTATGTAAAACTATAAGACTATGAATTTATGCACATTAATAAGTAGGCCATCAAAACAGAAAATTTCCCATTAAATAATGAGTTTCTTGAAGAATGGGAACCTATCTTATCCATGTTTGTATATCCAGCAGCCATAAGAAAATGTATTTGATAAATATTTTCTTAATATATAAAGGAAGGAATGACTAAACAATTTATTTTAAGATTATTAGCTATGGCCAAGCTAATGAAAATTTTAAGTGACAAAACTATAAGCTAACTTACAAAGATAAAAGGTAATTTATAAATGAGATCTTTTTTTTAAAAACATCTAGTTAAGTTTTTAGGCAATGTTTTCCTGCAGAAACATACTCCATGACTCCAAACCATAATTCCCAATAATGGAGTAACAGAACTGACTTTAGGGAGCCCAAAGAGCAAAACACAAATTGATACTATTAAACAGAATCTCACAGCAATTAAGAAATATGCTTAAGGTCTCTAGAAAATTGTATTATATCATTTTAATTTGCTGATTTTGATAATTGTTTTGTGGTTATGTAAGAAAATTCCTTACTTTAGGAAATACAATCTGAAGTATTGAGGGGTAAAAGGCCATTATATACACTAATAATTCTTAAATAATTCAGAAAAAAAATTATATTATAAACAAATACATATATATGTGTAAGATAAAAGAAAGAGAGGAAAAAATGTAGTGAAATGTTAACATTTGGGGAGTCTGAGTTAAGGCTATACAGGAAATTTTTGTACTATTTTGTAACTTCTATGTATCTAAAATAATGTCAAAATTAAACACTTATAAAAGAATTATATTATTAACATGTTTAAAAAGCAACCAAACAATAAATATAATATAAACATCTATATCAAAGCATTCAATTGAGTCCAGGATGAAATAAACTTTCATTCCTTTTTTGGAGTCTGACATAAATCTGGAATTCCATATCAGAACCTCTCCAAACTTAAACACAGACTTTCAGTTAGAGAATCCACCCCATTACCTCTGACAGATACAGTGACTCGACTTGAAGCTTAATGTACAATTACATCTTAAAGAACAGGGAATTAAACTTAGAAATATTAGAAGATAATATGAGAGTGATTTTTCTGTCTTTTGAGGAACATACATTATCATTGAGTGAGAATCTTGTCAGCCTTCTTGCCTTAAATTTACCCAATTCTGAATGAAATATAATTAATTTTAGTAAGCATTATAAGGTGAAGAAAGTCAATAATCTGCTAGCCTCACTACCAATTTAATGAAAGATCAACATCAGGGACCTTTTGTATGCTGGGAAAAACTCATTGTCTACTCTTAGAAGTATATGGAAAATTAAGATATTTGTAATTTTAAAAAGGTAGTTTTATGTCAAAAATAATAAATTAACAAAATACACACTTCATTAAAGATTAGAAAGTTTAAGCCGGAACTCCTCAGAAAAAAAAAATTCTTACCCAATTGGGAAATCAACATCATCACCATATGCTGTCATGTGATAAAGTCCAAATTTAGCCAATTTAACATGTCCCTACAATAATAAAGGAAGAAAAAAAATCATTATAAAATATTTTAATATCACTGACAGAGAGAATTATACATTTTATAAGTAAGGACACTATCATATAGTCAGATACGTTAAGAAAATATTATATTTTAATTTGCCATAATTTTATTAAAAACTATTTGTCAGGTTTGAAGTCTGCTTTATATTCATTACAAACATATATATACACACACACATATTATATATATATATCAAAATGACAACATTTAAAAATTTTTGCTGTTAATATTTTCTGGGCTTCTCTAAATAGCAAAAATGTTCTTAGTTGTCTTGAATCCTCAGTTAGAATATATTGTGGTAATTTTCACAAAAGAAAATTTTTTCAGGGAGTTGCAAGTCCATTCACAATGTTATAATTTAAACTTGACATGGACGTTTTTAACTTGGAAAGGTCAGTTCGCTAATATCTTGATTCCCAACAATTTTTTATACTGTTTGAGAATAAGCATAATGATCACAAAAGCAAGATTCTTAAAAGGCAAAACAAATTTTATAAGTCCCTTAAGTTTTTCCCCCTTTAGATGTTTAAGACTTTAAAAAACCATAGTCAATTTAAAAGTTGTTTTCTTTTTCTCAAGAACTCTATTTCCCAGAATTACAAAACATTTATATTTTAAAACAATTCAGACAGTTAGATACTCTACTACCGTAAGTATGAAATTAATGAGCACCATTTTATCTTTATTTTTAATATCATAGGGTATATATACTGAAAGTCTGGAAGAAAGAGAAAAAGAATAATCCTACTAATACAAAAAATAATTCCCCAGAAAATGTTTCCTCAAAATTATTTTATATGCTTATGAAAAAGAATGAAATTATAATTATTCCTGAAAAAACTACCACCTTGCTACCCATAATTCTCTTAGAGGTTGACTAGCTTCTTAGAAATCCCCCATAAGATTTCCAAGTAGAGAAACAGCACTCCAATTAAAAAAAAAAGCTAAGTATGAACAGCTGGTAAACAAAGAAAATAAATGAGGAATAAAGTGAAAAGAGGAAGTAGGAAAGAAGAATAAAGTGGAAAAAACACAATTCAGTTGTGCTATGAGAAAAATATTATATGTAAATAGTCAGAGAATCTTTCTTAAGATGAAAGCAAATTCAGAGAAGGAGTGGATTGGGAAGCCACAATGTGTATGTATCTTTTAGAAAATGAATGGAAGGAAAAACAAAACAAGTTAGAAAATGGGTCTGGGGAAAAAAGAATAATGAATGTGAAAGACATACGGATTCATATAATTTAGAGATACTTTTTTTTTAAACAACCACAAGTATATTACATTCGTATAATCTTTTCATTATGAATACTCTTAAGACATATTCTAATTCTACAGTCCCTCTGATTAACTGAGTGGACCTGATTTCAGTAGCTTCCAATGTGAAATATAAAGCAAATATTTAATATACTATTTGATGATTACCTTTCGATCCAAAAGGATATTATGAGGAGACAGTGCCCGGTGTACTATACCATGTTTGTTCATATACTGCAAGCCCTGAAGTATCTCAAATGCTATGCACAAAACCTTTGAATATCTACAAAGAAAACAAAAGAGTCACAGATCAATAGGTCAATTACAAAGCAGATATAGAACTTGTTTCAAGAAATAAAATGAGGTTCAGTGATAAAATTCAAAGATATATATATATATATATATATATATATATATATATATACACACACACACACATATATGTATATATATATATATACATATATATACACACATATTTTTTGCGGGGGGGCCATGTGCCTTGTGAGATTTTAGTTCCCTACCAGGGATTGAACCCAGACCTTCAGCAGTGAAAGTGCAGAGTCCTAACCACTGGACCACCAGGGAATTCCCCAAAAAGCTATATTTTTATTGTTCCTCCTCTATTCAGAGAAAATAGACTCTACACATTTTCTAAACTATCTACCTCGACATATTTTTGATTTTCCACTTACAACAGAATTGATCTGACAAAGAATGTAGTTTTCTAAAGGCTATTCTAATTGAAGTATTATTCTTCCACGAAGGTAGTTTAATATTGGTGGTATACAAATGACCTTGACCTTCAGCAGGTTGGACTTCGCCAAATTATCAGGACACTTTCAGATATATGGCAGAACTAAGTCAATGAAAACCACCTATCTTGCTCAAGACAAAACACCTATGTCCCTGAAAAATAGCTATAATATATTTTATAGCAGATAGACCTGAGCTTACTTTCCAGATCAATCCACAAAGCAACCTCCAGTAATTTATCAAACATTTCTTTCTTATCCTATTCTCTTTTAAGCCAACTTCCACAGGGATGCCCAGTTTCTTTGTCTTGCTCTCTCTCTTCCTCTCCCTCTCTCTCCTTTTTTTTTTTTTAAATAAAACATCATTCATACAGGAAGTTAGGAAGAATATACAGAAAAGTAGCAGAGAATAATTCAAACCCAATCCCCAAACCACTAATATTAACATTTGGGTATAGATCTCTTTTCTCCCCCCCCCCTTTTTTTTACACTTTAAATCAGACTTTAAAAAACTAAATAAATATGAGGGTAACAACTAAATTAATTTTTTTAAAGGTATAAATAACAAGCTAATAATAGAGATACAATGAAATTATTAAAAAAAAAAAGTCAACCTAAAAGCAGGGCAAATAAAAGGAAAAAAGAACAAAGAACAAATGGAACAATTAGAAAACAATTAACAGATTTTTTTTTTTTTTTTTTTGACAGTACATGGGCCTCTCACTGTTGTGGCCTCTCCCACTGCGGAGCACAGGCTCCAGACGTGCAGGCTCAGCAGCCATGGCTCACGGGCCCAGCCACTCCGCGGCATGTGGGATCCTCCCGGATCGGGGCATGAACCTGCGTCCCCTGCATCACCAGGCGGACTCTCAACCACTGCGCAACCAGGGAAGCCCAATTAACAGATTTTAATTCAGATATATCAACCATTACATTATATATAACTGCTCCAAACTCACCAATTCAGACTTGATTATATTCAGGTTACAAGGAACCCACATTAAATAAAAAGTGTTAAGTTAAAAGATCACTGATTGTCATGGGCTTGCGTGGAGGGAATGGGTTGATACAAAGGAGTATGAGAAAATTTTACATGATGGAATTGCTCTATTTTTAATTTTGATGATGGTTATAGGACTGAGTTGGTCAAACTGATTTAACTGCACACTAAAAAGAGTAAATTTTAAGGTATGTAAATTAATCACAATAAACTTGACATAAAAAGTAGGCTGAACACAATTTAAAAAAAGAATAATTTCACTATGACTCCCTCCTCTAAATTAAAACCATAAGAAAGAACGAGAGATGAAAAGTTAAAATCTCTCTCTCTTCTCATCCTAGTCTGACTTTCCAGAAGTAACCATCTTTAGCAGTTTGTGTTTTCAACTCTTCTGGTGGTTAGACTTTTACATAATTATAATTAACTCTTCACTATGCAAGATGATATAATTAACATACTTCTCCATTTTCCTTTTCTAACTCCTGATTTTTTAAATTAATTAGTTTATTTACTTATTTTTGGCTGTGTTGGGTCTTCTTTGCTGTGTGCAGGGTTTCTCTAGTTGCGGTGAGTGGGGGCTACTCTTCGTTGCACTGTGCAGGCTTCTCATTGCGGTGGCTTCTCTTGTTGCAGAGCACAGGCTCTAGGCGCACGGGCTTCAGTAGTTGTGGCATGCAGGCTCAGTAGTTGTGGCTCACGGACTCTATAGTGCAGGCTCAGTAGTTGTGGCACATGGGCTTAGTTGCTCTGCGGCATGTGGCATCTTCCTGGACCAGGGCTGGAACCCATGTCCCCTGCATTGGCAGGCGGATTCTTAACCACTGTGCCACCAAGGAAGTCTCTTTTTTTTTTTATTGTTTATATTATTTTACATTATCAAATTTTATAAGACAGATAAAAGATACCTTTGCTCCTTTCTTGAAGGCTAAACAGATAAACAAGTAAATATATAACATGATATATAGCGATTAAGTGCTAAGGAGAAAAAGTAGAGAAGAGAAGAGAGAATGTGGGTTGCTATTTTATATATACAGTGTGATCAAGGAAGGCTTCACTGAGGTGACATTTGTGCCGAAATCTAAAGGAAATGAAAAGGACATGCAGCTCCCTGGGAAATGTGTAATTCAGGCAGAGGGCACAGTAAGCAAGTCTTAACTGGAAGAATACACAGCAGTTCAAAAAAAGAAAAACAAATTTAAAAAACCCACCAAAAAACACAATGAAGCTACTGTGTATGCAGTAGAATGAGCAAAGGGTGAAGCTGGGAGATGAGGGCAGAGAGGTAGCAAGTCAGAAGGCTAGATCATAATGAGGCCATTTAGGCCTTGGCTTTTACTCTGAGACAGATGGGAAGTGTTTTAGTACACTGCTGCACTACGTATAGTAAAAATTTACCATGGAACTAAGCAGAGAAAGAAAGAAAAACCTAAGCCACTTAACCCCTAGCTCTCCAGAGAAAATATCTCAGTCATCAGGATTTAATGGATACTATAATTTTATAATTATAACTCTATTCATGAATGTTATCATCAGCTACTATCATTTTTTATACCTCATATGATTCTTTTTGTGTTTCCTTTTTATTTAGCTAGAATATAGTCATGAGAAAATTTTTCATAAGGGTGGCATGAGTAGATATTTTAAAGCATAGCATGTCTTAAAATGTCTTATCATTGTCTCTAAACTTAGAATTTCTCCATTGTCTTCGAGTGTTCTTTATTAATGGTGAGAAATCTAATATCAGTCTGATTCGAATTTTGTTGTAGATACCATGCTATTCCTCTGTGGAAGCTTTCAGGATTCTTTTATACTTTATTCTTAGACTTATATTCCTATGAGCATTGGCCTATTATTTAATTTCCAAGATCTCTCTTCTGGTCTCCAGTTGTTCCTTTTCAATACATCCTGTTCTTTGGCTATGGATACGTTATTCTTTTGAGTCTCTCTGAGGATAGTTATTAGAATTCTTTTAATTTGGGGGGGGAAAGTATGTTATCTTCATTTCCTCTGGGGTAAGTTTTTTTAATTTTTTTTTCCTCCCTTGACTCTTTCTCTCAAACCATTTCTTCCCTCATATATCTGGTACTTCCTGGTTGTCAGCCATATTTTAAAATAAAGCAATAAGTTGATATTCCCCATGAAGTATAAAAAAAAAGTTACTATTTATAAAGAATTCTATTAAACTGATCTATAAACTATTCTACTTTATAAAATAGCTTCTCCCATATTAAAGTGTCACAACAGCCAGTATTAAGCAAATAAGATGAGATGAGAACAATTAAGAATTAATCATTTTCATTAACATCTGCAAAATAATAAACCAACTATGTAAAGGAAAAGATTCCAAACTTTACAAATACAATTACATTGAAAACTATGTGCACATGAAAGAATGCAAACCCCTCCCCTCTTAAAAACAAAGAAAAACTTTCATTGAGATTGATTAACAAATAAAACATAAGAACCTAGTTTTCTGAGGTCATTTGCTGAGTCAACTTTAAGGTAGTAATCTCTCTTGTCCTTGTTCTTCTCTCTGTATCTCTGTTTCTGTCTCTCTCTCTCTCTCTCACACACACACACACACACACACACACACATACACACACACACACACACACTTCACAAAATCTTAAAAGTTGATGCCATTTTCAACTGTGACACTAGAGGACCTCAGCTGCACACTATTTCAATACAGATGTCTTTCTCGTGAAATTAAAACCAAATTTTTCAAGTGACTTTTTCATTAAACCAGTTCTGAAACAGCTGACAACAGAAGACTGCATCTTCTACTTTCTCGACCTGCTTTTGTTAGCTGATTTTAAGATATAATTGGAAAACACTTGCATGTCAAAAAGCACATCATGCTATTATTGAGCTGATGAGCATTTACATTGAAAAAATTTTTTAAAATATGAATGTATAAAGCTGAGCTCATGACACATCTTTTCTAAGCTATTACTTGAGATTATATATGAATTACAGTTAATGAATTCAGTATTCTTGTTTAAATCAGACAGGAAATCAGATTTGCTTTTCTGCCCATTTGTGCTCTTGGGATTTAATTTTAAAATTTATTTTAAAATATAGGTATAGGAGAGGGGGAAGATGGCGGAAGAGTAAGACGTGGAGATCACCTTCCTCCACACAGATACATCAGAAATACATCTACACGTGGAACAACTCCTACAGAACACCTACTGAACTCTGGCAGAAGACCTCAGACCTCTCAAAAGGTAAAATATAGGTGTAAAGGAGAAGAAAAAGCTAATGCTATTTTCTATAACGGGAAAAAGAAATCAGTATTTGTGGAATTTTGTATACTTTTTTGTTTTTAACTGCTTGGTACTATGTTTTTAGGCCTCTGCATTTTTAGGCTCCATGGAAGAAAAATTGATCTCCACAATTAAAAAGCCTACAGCATAGTTGTAGAGGGAAGAGATATGGGAACATATGTATATATATAACTGATTCATTTTGTTGTAAAGCAGAAACTAACACACCATTGTAAAGCAATTATACTCCAATAAA